CTCCTCCTCTCTCCTCCTCGTCGTACCTCGTCCTGCCTCTCTCCACCTTATCCTAATTTCCCTTATTTGCTTCTACCTCATTATATTTCTTCTTCACCTGGGTAGGATGAGGTATGAATCGGTTGGAGGAAGCAGGCTTGTGATCCTCCTCCTCCTCCTTTCCCCCCTCTCTTCCACCACCCCATCCTCCTTATCCTCATGATCTCCTTCCTCCTCCTCCCAGCCAACTGGCCATCTGGCCTGCCGGCCGGCAAGCCAGCCAGCCCGTCTGCCAGCCAGCGGGCCAGCAAATCAGCCAACCAACAAGCCAGCCAGCCAGCCGGCTGGCCAGCCGACCGGCCGGCCAACCAGCCAACCAACCGAGCAGTCAATCAGCAGCCCAGACATCCCAGGACCGATCGACCAGCCAACCAATTGGCCAACCGGCCAACCAGCCCCCGCCAACCCAGCCAGCCAGCCCACAGGCCAACCAGCCAGCCAGCTTGCAAATAAGCCCAAGAAGCCCCACGAAACCCCAAGAGCCAACCACAAGGAATCCATAGGAATTCGCGTAGACATCCCCACGGGAATCCATAGGAACCCATGGGGAACCCCATAAGAATCCAAAGGGATCCTCATAGGAATCCGTAAGACGCCCCATAGGATTCCATAGGCATCCCCCAAATATTCCATTGGAATCCACAGGAATCCCGATAGTAATTCCTGGGGGAATCCCCAATAGGAATCCGTAGAACCCCCCATAGGGATCCATCGAAATCCCGATACGAATCCATGGGAACACCCATGGGAATCCATAGTAATCCTCATAGGAATCCGTAGGACACCCCGTAGGCCTCCATTGGAATCTTCATATGGCTCCGTACGCTTCCCCATAGGAATCCATAGGAGTCCCCACAGTATTACATGTATGTGTGTCATATATTTATCAATAACAACACGCACCACCACCACCACCACCAACAACAACAACAACAACAACAAAGGCGGCCCGCGCTCGGCCCTCACGACGCCAGAATGCGAGGCCAACTGGGCCAAAGACCGAAACAGCGCAAACGAGCGCAAATGCTTAAATCAATCCCAAGTCGGGGAGCGGAGGGTCCAGCGCTGATCCAGGGCAGCCGCGCGGATTTGCGTAAACTGTTGTGTTTATGTCGTTATTGCGAAGGCCGTACGGCCAGGTGGCGGCGGCGACGGCGACGATGCTGACGTGGGCAGGAGTCCTCTTCGGAAGGCTTCGGGGGCTTCTGGGGAGGAATTTTGGGGCCTCTTGGCAGCCTCTTCGGCGGCCTCTTCGGGCTTCATTGGAACCTCGTGTGGGCCTCTTGGGGCCTCCTGGTATGCCATTATTGAATCGCTTCGCTCATTCCGCCGGCCCTGGAGCCCTCTGTAGGGCCTCTTGGGGACCTCTTGGGAGTTTCTTGGGGCTCCTTGGCGGCGTCTTGGGGGCCCCCAGGGCCTCTTGGGGGGCTCTTGTGGGCCTCTTGGGGCAGGACGGGGGGTAGTAGATTGCGGCTCCCCCCTCGGAGGCCACGATCTTCGTGAGGGGTGACGAAAAATTGTCCGGTCCGGCCCGGGGTCTCTTCCCGGGACTTGCCCGGGGTACTTTTCGCCCGGGGACCCCCAGGGGCCGCCCCGCGCGCGCGAACTAGAAATATTGTTAACCAGTTGCCGGAGATCTTAGCACGTCTCTGGCCCGTTGGGCCGGCGAATTTGTCATTCTTCGTTTTTCAATGATAACAGAGGTTGAACAGACATATCGAGATTGCCGATCGTCAGAAGTGGGGCGGGGCCCGAGAGGCTGGCCAGGGCGAGTCGGAGCGGGCGGGGGGGAGGGCACCACTGCGCGGCGCGCCGCCGCCGAGCGGGGACCCCCGGGAACCCCTGTACATTCTCTCCGCCCCCATCCCGAGGGGGGGGGAAGAGGAGGGGGGAGGAGGGGGAAGAGGGGGAGCAGGAGGAGGAGGAGGAGGAGGACGGAAAGGGAGTAATTAGGAGGAGACGGGAGGAGGGTTTGGAGAGGAGGAGGAGGAAATAGGAAAAGGAGGAGGGAGGAGGGGGAGGGAGGGAGGGATGAGAAGAGTGGCGCTGGGCAGGGGCAGGGGGGGTCGAAGGCCTCGATCTTAGGATGAATTCGCCCGCGTCTCCAAGGCTTCAACGAGAGTGAGGGAGGAAGGGAGGGACGGAGTTGGTGGAATTGAGGAGGGGGGAGAAGGAAGAGGAGGAGGAGGAGGAGGGTTTCGATCTTTGGACGAACCTGCCCGCATCGTCGAGGCTTTGAGGAAATTGAGGGAGGCAGGGAGGGGGCAGAGCGGGGGGGAAGAAGGAGGGGGAAGACGGAGGGGAGGCGGATCAGGAAGGGGGCGGGGAGGCGGGGGAGCCGGTGGAGGCGGTTCCCCCCCATCTTGCCTCGATTGTTTTAGATTGTTTACATTGTCAGAATTCCTTCCACTTCCCCATCGTTTCATCGGCCCCCGCCTCCGCCTTGGCCCCCCCCTCAAAAGCTCCCCCTCCCTCGCCTCTTCGGCACTCGCCTCCGCCCCCCCCCCCCGAAGCTCCCTCCCCGCGCCTCCGCCCCCCCCGATGCTTCCCTCCCCGCGCCTTTTCGGCCCCCGCCCCCCCGATCCCTCCCCCCCGCCACCCCCCTCCCTGTCAGCCGCGCCCCTCGGGCACCGGGAGGCCCGCGAGGCCGACGAGCTGCTGGCGACTCGACGGCAGCGCAGACACGGAGGAAGGCGCGTCAAGCGGGTTGACGACTTCAGAAGGCGATGTTCAGATCAGCAGATGTGCACCGAATGGCATTTGTTGCATGGGATCGTGACAAGTTTAGATGTCCATCGTGCGGGTTTCTGATGGGAGGCGTGCAAAAAAGCGCCTTGCAACGGGCCCCGGCTCTAATTCGAATCGGCGCGCTCCGTCGCCAAATTAGACAGCAACGCGGCCATGCTTCGAGGAAGGAGTGCTTCCCCCGATCAGTGGATGTGGCGCCCACGCGCCAGGTCCACGGATCTGCGATCCATGCAAGCGCGCGCCCGAAATGACGAGGCGGCCTGGAGATTCGCACCCCCTTTTTCCCGACCCGAGCTCTTGTGGCTGTGCGCCCTTTTTTTTTTTCTTTTAGCCGACCCCTTCTCGCCCCCCACTTCTTGCCGCCCCTTTCCGCAAGCGACTGCCGCCCAGGACACGGGCTCACCGTGCTGGACGCCGTGGACCGCCACTCCTCCCCCCTGGTCCCCCTCCGCCCCGCTGCCCTGTTTTGGTTCACGTCGCCACGCGATGAACGCGCGCCCCCGAAGTCATCCTTCCCGCCGACCCTCCGCCCGCCAAAAAAATTACGAGCACACCATCCCCCCGTATCAGATCTGGACAAGTCCCGACCTGAGCCTTAGATCGCACCTCTCTGCAGGAGCATCTGGCGTGGCCCCGGGGCCCGAAACCGAGCAAAAACGCCCTGCTGCCAACAAAAATACCCAAGAGAAAGGCCCAACCATACGCAGTTGAGAATATCGCCGTCATGGGCATCGCCGTCGGTTGATTTGTTCATGAGGCCGCGAAGCGTGCAACGGGCGTCCTGACATGGAGCGGGGACGCATGCGGGCGCGGCCATTGGAGCTTCCGGTTGCGCTTCATATGGGGCCACGAAGCGTGTGATGGGTGTGCCGACATGCTGCGGGGCCGCCATGCGAACGTCGCCAATGGGGTCTTCAGTGGAGCTCCCTATGGGGCCACGAACGCTGCGCTGAGTGGGGGAACCGCATGCGAACACCGCGACTGGGGCCTCCGGTGGAGCTCCCTTTGGGTCACGAAGCGCTGTATTGTGTGTGGGGGACGCATGCAAACACCGCCACTCAGGCCTTTGGTGGAGTTCCTTGTGGGGCCACGGAATGTTGTATTGCGTGTGCGACACGCATGCGAACACCGTCATTGAGCCCTTCGGCGGAGCTCCCTGTGACGCCACGAAGCGCTGTGCTGGATGGGAGAAACGCATGCGGACATCCCCATTTGGATGTCCGATGGAGCTCCTTATGGGGCCACGAAACGCAGTACTGGGTTGGTGACACGAATGCGGACACCGCCACTGGGGTTTGGGTGGGGCTCCCTATGGGGCCACGAAGCTGGGCGGGGGGTGCGCATGCAGACACCGCCGCTGGGCCACTCGGTGGGGCTCCCGATGGGGACACGAAGCGTTGTTCTGGGCGGCGGAAACGCATGCAGACACCGCCACCGGGGCCTCCCGTGGAGTATCCGACAGGGCCACGAAACGCTGTGCTGGGCGGGGGAAGCGCATGCAGACACCGCCACTGGGGCCTCTGGGGGGTCCCTTTTACGGGGCCACGAAACGTTGCATTGGGTGGGCGAAACACATGCGGACACCGCCATTGGGGCATTCGGTGGAGCGGGCCACGAAACGTTGTATTGGGTGAAGGGAAACGCGCCACTAGGGCCTTCGGTGGGGTTCCGTATGAGGCCACGAAACGTTGCAGTGGGTGGAAGAAGAAACGCATGCGTACAACGCCACTGGGGCATTCGGTGGGCCCTTTTTTCCATGGGGCCAGGAAGCGTTGAATTGACTGGGGAAAGCGTATGCGAACATAGCCAGTCGGGCTTTGGGTGGAGCTGGGGCCCCGAAGCGTGTGAGGGGTGGGCAAAAGTGGAGGGGGGCGGCACGTGAACACAGCCATTGGGGGCGGCATGTGAATGCCGCCACTGGGGCTTTGGGTGGAGCTCCCTCAGGGGCCACGAAACGACTGAAGGGTGGGCAAAGTAGACGGGGGACGGCATGTGAACGCAGCCATTGGGGCATTGGGTGGAGCTCCTTATTGGGCCAAGAAACGTGTGAGGGGTGGGCCAAAGTGGAGGGAGGAGAGGAGAGGGGAGGAGACGCGGAAACCGTCTCTTCAAAACGAGGACCCAGCACCACAGGACTGTTGGGAAATACGATTTCCTGGAGCTCCGGGCCTCTTTCCCGCCACCCCGCCGCCAGCAAAACCAAAACCGCCCAGGATACGAGTACACCGTGCTGGATCCCGCGGACTACCCCGCGTGCAAGCAGCGGGATTTCTTCTTCCGGCGGGGCTGGGGCGGTTCCTCGACCGGCGCCGCTGGGCGCGCCCGCGGTCGGCGAGCGGCGTTGACAAGGGAAGAAGGGGGGCGGGCGGGTAGCACCCTCGTGTTGAAGAGGTCGGCATCACCATCAGCTTTCGGAGTTCCGCGATGATCCCCCTGGAACCCCCTGGCGGCGTCTCTGGCGCCGCCCCTGGTGCGCTCCGCGCGCCAGGGAGGGGGGGGGGGGGGCCAGCGCGGTTCCAAGAGATCTGCGCGGACTTCCGGAAGATTATGTTCAGGCCGTTGTTCATTCTTCCATACGGTCCGACCGAGGTCTAAGATCGAGGTCGGTTCGGGGATGGTACCCTAGTGTTCTTCGCGTTTGTGGCATGTGTTTGTGCATCATTGGGGAGGGCACCCTCGGATGTTGTCCAATTTGGGCCGGCGGAGGGTCTCATGCTCCTGCAGGATGCTCTTCTGTCCTAGGTCTGACCGTAGAGGAGGGTTCCGCCCTTCGAAGCGCCCGCTCCGCTCGTCCTCCTCGCTACTACTCCGCCGCCGGCGCGCGGGACGAGGCGCATCTCTCCTCTACACGTTCTGCGGTTGGCGGCGCTCTCCCAGTGCAAACGGTTCCCTCCGCTTGCATGCAGATTGGTGTGCACCCCAGCTCATCACAGGGCTCATTTCGACGCCTCAGATTCGATTCGATTCGATTTCGATGGCTTCCAATTTCGATTCGATTCGACTTTGGATTCCGATTGCTCAACGGAGGCCTTAGCAGCCTGCCGATTCCCGCCGAGTCGACCTCTCCCGACTTGGTTGTCGATTTCCCCCGATCCGATTCACTTCGATCGCCGATCCGACTTATCGATTCGATTCGGGGCTTTCCTGTCATCATCGGCGGCGCGCCCGGGGGGGCGGCAGTGAGAAGGAGCAGGCCTCCTCAGAAGGCGGCGGGGCTTCTCAGAAGCCCTCCAGCCTTCTGAGAAGCCTACCATGTCTTCAGGGAAGGCCAGAGGCTTTCCGAGCCTTCTGAGAAGGCCCGCCCCTTCTCGTTTCCCCCGGGCTCGCCGCCGACATCAGGGACATCAAGGGAAAATTAGCCTGGCGAAGGACCCAACCATATACAGTTGTGAGTGACGCAGTTGTGGGTATCGTCTTCGGTGGAGCTTCCTGTGGGGTCACGAAACGTGTGAGGGGTGTGCCGACATGTGTGGCGGGTACGCATGCGGACACCGCCAGTGGGGCCTCCTGTGGGGCTCCCTATGGGGCCACGAACCGTGCGAGGGGTGTCATGGAATGGGTGGTGGGGACGCATGCGAGCACCGTCACTGGGGCCTTCGGTGGAGCTCCCAATGGGGCCACGAAGCGTGTGAGGGGTGTGCCGAATTCGGTGGCGGGGACGCATGCGAACACCGCCATTGGGGCCTTCGGTGGAGCTTCCCATGGGACGTGTGCGGGGTGTGCCGGAATTGTAGGGTGAGGCCTTCGGTGGAGCTCTCCATGGGGCCACGAAACCTGTTAGAGGGTATGCCGAAGTGGGGTGGCGGGGACGCATGCGAACACCGCCACTGGGGCCTTCGGTGGGGCTCCCCTGTTGGGGCCACGAAACGTGCGAGGGATGTGCCGACATGGGTGGCGGGGACGCATGCGAACACCGCCACTAGAGCCTTCGGTGGAGCTCCCCATGCGATCACGAAACGTGTGAGGGATGTACCGAAATGAGTGGCGGGGACGCATGCGACCACCGCCACTGGGGTCTTCAGAGGAGCTCCTATGGGGCCAAGAAACGAGTGAGGGGTGTGCCAAAATGAGTGGCCTGGACGCATGTGAACACCGCCACTGGGGCCTTCGGTGGAGCTCCCCTGTGGGGCCACGAAACGTGTGAGGGGTGTACCGAAATGAGTGGCGGGGACGCATGCGAACACCGCCACTGGAGCCTTCGGTGAAGCTCCCTATGCGGTCACGAAACGTGTGAGGGGACTGCCGAAATGAGTGGAGGGGACGCATGCGAACACTGCCATTGGGGCCTGTGGTGGAGCTCCCTGTGGGGCCACGAAACGTGTGAGGGATGTACCGAAATGAGTGGCGGGGACGCATGCGACCACCGCCACTGGGGTCTTCGGTGGAGCTCCTTAAGGGGCCACGAAACGTGTGAGGGGTGTGCCGAATTGGGTGGCGGGGACGCATGCGATCACCGCCACTGGAGCCTTCGGTGGAGCTCCCGATGGGGTCACGAAATGTATGAGAGGTGTGCTGAAGTGAGTAGCGGGGACACATGCGAAAACCGCCACTGGAGTCTTCAGTGGAGCTCCTTATGGGGCCACGGAACGTGTGAGGGGTGTGCCGAAATGGGTGGCGGGGACGCATGCGAACACCGCCACTGGAGCCTTCGGTGTAGCACCGTATGGGGCCACGAAACGTGGGGGGGGGATGGAGGAGGGAGTAGAGGGAGGAATGGGAGGAGGAGGAGGAGAGGAGAGGCGAGGAGCGCGGGGACCGTCTCTTCAAAAGGAGGACCCAA